AGCAGATTAGGAAGGGAAGATACCCAGTTTCTTCCCTCTGGGCAAGGGAAAAAACAACAACAAAGAACCAAAGAGAACCATAAAGATGATTACAGATTTAGAATATAAAATTCCCAAAGAACCATTAAAGGAATTGAAATTACTACTCATGGGAAAAAAAAGGCAACCAGACTGAATGGGGGTTCATTCATTAATGTCCTTCCAGTTTATGAATGAACTCATTTATGGTAGACAACAAACCATCTGGTCTTCATGTTGAACCCAAAAGTAGGTATAACACACAACATACAGAATCATGAGGCTGGTAAGTGTGAAAGCCATCATGACTTTTGAACAGTATATATACCATAAAGTTTACGAGATCAAGAATATTAGGAGCTTTGTTCTAGTGTTGTTTGTAATATATTAAACCAGTGTGACTTCAGACAACTCACATAATTTCTCTGAACTCAGTTTCCTCAACTGTACAATGAACATATTGGGTTAAAATAAAAACAAGAGAAGAATATTGTCATGACTATAAGCATGGACTCAGGATTCAAAAAATTGTCTTTGTCATTTACTGCCTGTACAAATCTGGGCACATTATGTGCCTTGGAATCCTCATCTATAAATGGAGAGTAAGTAGCATCATCCACATACCATCAACTAACCATATTGAGAAAATTAAATAAGTTAATACGTGAAAAGCACTTAGCACAGTGACCAACTCAATTAGGGTTAGCTGTTGTTTTAGCAGGGTTTTGTTTGGTTTTTTTTTTGCGGGGGGGGGGGCGTTGGGAGATTTTCTGCTATAGTTAGTATTATGTGCAAGTAGTAGAAGCTAATTTTGGTTGATTAAGCAGAAAAGGGGTTTATTAAAAGGATATTGGTTCACAGAAACAATTGATTTCAAGAACCAGATTCAAGGATAAGCTTTTAGAAATGAACCCCAAATATCACAAATCTTGAATGATATGAAAATGCATCCACAATCACAGAATGCTCAAAACTAAAGTTTGTGTCATTCCAATTTCTGCATCAGAACTCAATTTTCCTTTATTCTAACTATGGCTGTCCCAGCTGCAAGGGGAACTAGAAAATCAACTGTCTGGCCTTTTAAAATCTTGTAGAAGGCTGTTCTGCCCAGACTCTCCAGATGTATAAAAAAAAAATCAGATGCCAGGTGGCCAAAATGAACTCAATCTGTTTGACTTTTACGCTAAGATTTATTGCTTAGAGTCATTTGTTGAAGGTTGTGTGATTTTATTCAAGGTCAAGAATAAGGTTTTCATAATCCTTTAAAGACTCCATGGTTCCATCAGGAAAGGCTTAAAATACCCGGGGACAGAAGGAACTTCCAAATACCCTTGACATATAAACAGAGTTACTGGGTAGGCTTGGTATCCAATGTTGAAGTTAAAAATCACTGGATTTATAGTTAGCATTAGGTCATCCGTTTTTAATTTCCATAGTTGAAGATTTTTCACCTATACATACATGACTAGGGAGAGTGAACGGTTTCCAAGTCTTCAGTTGGGAAAATAAAAATTCTCAGAATTGAATGAACATTCTCTCATGGAAAAAAAAATCCTATATTCTTTCTCTCTGAACTATTAATACATCTGTGCTGCCAGGGGGGTGGGGAGTTGCATTCCATAAGAAGGACATTAGCCAGGAGGGGAAAGAGCAATTATAATTGGGCTTTATCTATTTTAAACTCAACTATAAAAAAAAATAGTGCCTAAAATACCAGCAATCCAGCTCCCAACTGTCCTTTCTGAGCAACAGACAGAAATGCTGACCCCATGACTAATGCCCTGTGCCCGTCTCAAACCGGCCTGGATCTCCACCACTGGTGCATTACAAGTCCGGTGGGTGGTTCATAAAGCAGCCCCCCCCCCCCAGTGCATGAACCCTGCGGCATCTCTGAACAAGTGTGACCCTTTGGGATCCCAAAAATATTCTTGGGGAACTTAATTCAAGTGTTTATAGAAACCACAGAAAGGCAATTAAGAAGCTTTCCTGCCCAATCATTTTGGCTCATTAAGCAGATGAATTCTCATATACACATGATTCGCACAAAATAGTTTGGTGACATCTGTAGCAATTAGAGCAAGAAAGAAAGTTGAAGGGAAAATTTACAAAGGTCATTGTGTTCACTGCGTATTTATTTTCGAACACACGAAGCTTGTCAAATCAGAAATTCTGGTATGTTACTATTATGGGATGAAAATTTGGTTTCCTCAACCGGAAGAGTAAGAATACTGTCACATTCATTCTATGTTGTTTCCAATAATCCACTGAATAGTAGTATGTATCTAGAATATTTGAGATATACGAAAACGGCCTGAGGGATCACCATCAATCAACCACATGGTGAGAGTTGGCCCAAGGAGGTGGACCCTAGTTTGGAAACGGAAATACGTCTCTCTATAAGCAATAAGTATGAGATATTCCCTCCCCCAAAAAATTGTGTAATAAAATAATTGGAAATTGAAAAGGATTTTAAATGTAACAGAGGTTTCAAGTTAATGGCATGATGATTTTTTTTCATAAATAAATATTTAAAGGTATGGATCTGTTATAAGTGATTAGGTTTCCATATAACAAGGCAACAAAATGTAGCTGATGGACTTTGAAACCAGCCTGCCTGCGTTCAAATCCTGACTTCAGTTCCCAACTCAGCAAATTACTTTGATCTCTCTGGGCTTTTGTGTAAAAGGGGATAGTAACAGTCCAGAACCCATGATGGTGTTTGAGGATTAGAACAGTGTCTGGCTGGATAGGCATTTGTTAGAAGGTAAGTAAATAAAATATTTAATATGTCTCTGAAAGTATGCAATTTATACTTTTCAGGGCATTCTTAGTTGACATATAACTCACTGGGTTCTTAACTTTCTAAAATAAAAATATGAAACATTTCATTTCTTTTATTTCTCAGCAATAACAAATATTTGCTACTGGATAATCCTGCAAGAATACAGGGAAGAAAAAAAATACAAGAACTCTTGAGGCAAATATTTAAATATTTAGTAAAATGAAAAACATCCAGTCATTTAAAGCAAAAAGTAATCAAGGCAAGGTAGCTCACCCATCTGATGTCTTTTTTTAACATTTAGAGCAACATAATATAAATTACTAGGATTAAAAATGTGATCGCAACCACAGACATCATTGAAATTCTGTGCTTTAAATTGCCTTGGTGCTAACACATAAAATAATTGAGAAAAGAATCAAGTTGGTATATATAAAGATTTATCATTGAAGCTAGAAGCTGTTTTACTTTGTTTGAAACAACAATTATTGTACAAAACAGTATTTCTGTTTTTTAAATGTTTTTTATTGATTTCAGACAGAGGAAGTGAGAGGAAGAGAGGGATAGAAACATCAATGATGAGAAAGAATCATTTTTCATCTACTTCCTGCACACCCCTACTAGAGATTGAGCCTGAAACCCAGGCATGTGCCCTGACTGGGAATCGAACCATGACTTCCTGGTTCTTAGGTTGAACGCTCAACCACTCAGCCACACTGGCTTGGCTGTTGTTGTTTTTATTCCTCACCCAAATATATTTTTATTGATTTTTATATAGAGAGGAAGGGAGGGTGAAGAGGTGGAGATGGGGGGGGAGGGGGAGAGAGAGAGAGAGAGAGAGACCGACCTTACTCACCCAACCAGGAATTGAACCAGCAACCTTTTGGTGTACAGGACAATGCTCCAACCAACTGAGTCACCCCCGGCCAGGGCGCACAACAATGTTTTTAAACAACCCACATATCTTTTTAAAATATGTATAAAAAGTATTTGGAAAGGTAGTGCAATTTTTTAACAGTAACTACATCTATGGATGGGTAGGGTAATGCATTTGGGAACTTTTCTTTTTACCTTATGCATTACTAAGTTTTTTCCAACATGTATCATTTTATAGTATAAAACATTTTAAAGTGTTATTTGTAGAAGTTAGTAATGCATATTGATGTCTGGTTCCTTATAGTTTCCTTTCTTCAAAAATCACAAATGCACAAAGGCAAAGAGTTCTGCCTATGCCTAAGTGTAAAGTAAATTTACCGTTTTCCGGCAGATCGACGGTGGTAGATTAGGCCTACACGTCACTTTGGGCCCCTGTGTTACTTTTAGGTCCTTAACCTTTAGAGAAATATCGCTGGCATTGCAGAGAAGCACCAATGCTATTCCTCCCCAAATAAGGACATCAAATTAACCAAGGATTTTTAGGACAAACGAAAAAATAGAAACTAATTCTATTTGGACAGAGAACAGCATTATTCCCCACAAAGAGATCCAACATTAGTAAACACCTCTCACCATTTTGTCAGCTTTGAAAATAGATTTAAGTCCCTCACCAGCTACCCCCCAAATTAGCCAGCCACTCCTTCCAACAGTAATCTGATAATGTTTCTATTCAGGGTCTTGTGTTGCCTTCCTTGGCTTATGAAACAACCAAAATTCAAGGACGCAAGAAGAGAATTAATAACCAAGAAATATATATCACATACCAAGTGCAGTACCATACATATCTGATGCATTCTCTCCTAGAATCAAAGGCTGATACTGTCCTCGCTGTGCTTCTGAGAATACTGAGGTTCTGAGAAGTCATCTGTCCAAGGCCCCTCAGCTAGTGAGTCACAGAACCAAGTAGTCCAGCTCCAGAGCACTTTACCACCACACCACACAGCCTCCACAGTGGATCCAAAGGATAGTCAGATCCTTTGATGATTAGGTGATTTTGAGTGACACCAGAAAATAAGAACCCCTTATATGTACTCAGCAATTTATCAGTTGTCACATGCTCATCTCAAGCAAGCTACTGAAGCATAGAGTGTGATATTAAAATCCATACAAAGAGACTTTTATGGTTTTTATCCTCTGACCAGTCCACTCTTATTTGTCAATAAGTTTGTTTCTTACTGTGAATAATTCTGAAAAAATAATTGAGAAGCTTGGACTAAAGATCTCTTGTTTTCTTCTGTCCCCCATACAACCTCCCCTGGATTTGCAGGAAAATGGACAAAGAAAATATGGGGGCCCTCCACCTGGTTGGGATGCTGCGCCCCCAGAAAGGGGCTGTGAAATCTTTATTGGGAAACTTCCCCGAGACCTTTTTGAGGATGAACTTATACCATTATGTGAAAAAGTGAGTCCATATTTAAATTTGCTTATATTTCAAGGGAAATGTACTACTATCTTCACTTTGCGTTCATGCTCATTTTTCCTGGTCAGTGATGATTTCTTCCAGTTGCTATTCCTCAAGCAGACAAAACCTTCCTACCTGCCGGTGATGGTCTCAGCTCTTTATCCTTTTACTGACAGCTTGGCATTCGCTACTACTGACATCATCGCTGATGACTATCAAATCTTTATTTCAAACCCCGATCTCCACTGGCATGCCATCTCGCTGCAAACTCCATGTGTCTATCAATATAGACGAACACTACAACATCCTGTCTAAAAACAGACATTGTTTCAACTTGACATTTTAATATGTGTGCAACATTTTTACATAAAAATAATAGGGAGGTTTGTCATAGCTCAAAACTGTGTCTATTATGTATTGGTCCAGAATAAAAATTTTTTGACAAGTTTGAATTTCTTGTCCACCCTAATGTATCAATAAAATTAAGTAGTATATAATTATTAAGGTTCTCAAAGTAATTATGCAATTGTTGAGGGATAAACTTCCCCAGTTTTAATTCCAAATGATATTTTGTTACTAAACCCCAATGAAATGGAGAATACAAAATCAACAGTTATTTTCAATAATTTACCAAGTGGTGTTTAAACAACCACATTCCTAGAAAATTCAGTAAAATTAGTTTAGCTACTTATTTCCCTAAATGCCCAAACCAGTTGTGAGTTTGTGAGTGTGTGTGTGTGTGTGTGTGTGTGTGTAACTCAGCCTCAGAACTGTGTCTAATTTTATATATACAATCCCCCTTGGGCTGTGGCCAAATTATGGACTTAATCCTATAGATCTTATACACTAAACCTGAAAATGAGCAGCAAGAAACACCTGAAACAGGTGAAACATGTTGAACTCTTTCCCAATGAGCCCCAAAGAAATAGGTGTCCTTCTTTGAATACCTTGGGGTGGGCAGGGGCAGGTGAGACTGAAATGAGGGGTAACCAACCAGTGTGTAACAGCATATGCTTAATGATGCTTCTTCTCCCCACACATGCCCCTCATATCTATTTGGGCCCCCCTTCTTGCAGGAGCCAGCAAGCGTGAATTGCTGAGCCTGTATTTCTGGAGAACATTTGGAGTATCAAGTAGTATATTGGCAAAGCAGAGTGGCTGTAGCCAGAGATGTAGTGAGTACCCTCCTGGGTGGAGGTCCTGGCCCTGGTCAGTTGTATTAAGACCAGCATTTCCCTTCAGCCTACAGACTATGGAATAACAGGGCTCCCCAGATTATTCTCTGAAACACATCATCTGTATTAATTTTGACGTCACAGTGGGGGGAAAAGTCAGCTAAGAAGATTTAGCAACGGGTCCAAATTCGTGTTCCTGGTTTTTCTTTTAAGTATCCATGGTAGAGTATTACCAAGTAAAGATAACACTAAGGAGACTTCAGAGGCCAATGAAGAGGGCAAGGATCAAGAAATTGTACTTCTGATGACAAATGTGTTTTCAGACCCCTAAAACAGTGTGTAAATCCCCCGATAGTTGTGTGGTGAAAGGTCATTTGCTCTGTCAACAAATATATTCTGTTAACTCAGGCTGAAATGCCACTTGTACACTTTTTTAAAATTAACTTGCTTTTGCCCAAGAGTCAGGTAATGGATCCAAACCCTGCATGTGCAAACCATTCCACCTGGGATGCAAATGCCAAATATGGAAGTGACCGACTTCAGAAAGCATTGTGTGTACGTGTGCACATGTGTGTTCATTTGGAAGAACAAATGCATAAATATGAATTTCTCTTTTTCTCTTATTTATAGATAGGTAAAATTTATGAAATGAGAATGATGATGGATTTTAATGGCAACAATAGAGGATATGCCTTTGTAACATTCTCAAATAAACAGGAGGCCAAGAATGCAATCAAGCAACTTAATAATTATGAAATCAGGTAAGCAGAACAGATACCCCAGAGCCAACCTCACCTGCTTCCACTCAGCCTTGTTTCAATAGAGCCTGCCAGAGAGAGAACCTGTCTTGTAGAGAATAACCTTTGATTTGCTTTGACCAGGAGAAAGATAAAGTTCTCCTCCGGAAAAGACCCACAGTTGTCTGAGCATCCTCCTCCCCCTCAAATATTCACGGAGAGTCATCTAAATACCTGGCTCTGGAGACATGAAAATCGAGCCCTCAGCTTTTGAGAGATGGCTTTTCTTCTCCAAGCAATTCTAGGGAAGGTGCCTGACAAACCCCACATTTAGAAATAGAACATGGGGCCCCTAGGCTCCCCCTGCTGGTAACTGATAGCTGACCAGCCCCAAATAATCAAAAATAATAATTTCTAAAGATCTAGTAGTAAACCATTTTTTTTAAAGTAAAGTTTAAAAAGAAAATGAAAGATTACTTTATCAACTCTTCCCTTCCACCCTACTCCCATAAACCATGCTCCTGGAGCGACGGAGATGAACCCGTCACAGATCTGATCCGTGGTCCTTGGTTCTTCAGAAAAGCAGAGAAGGCAACTAGGACAGTGGCCCAACCTGGCCAGGATACCTGCCGCACATATAAGCCACTATTTCCAAGAACTCAGCATTCTCCCACTCACCTGGGTGGGCCTTTTCGACCATGACAAACAAGTGGTTTCTGTTAAGGGAACTTGGGCCGTTTTTAATAATTTTGTGTTATTACAAAAGTCACACAGCCTGTTTCGCAACACACACACACACACACCCCAACAAAAAAATCCTACAAAGTAATAAAAGTTAAACCATTCCTCCATAACCCCATTGCCCAAAGATAATCACTATGTTGATTTTTTATTGTCTTTTTGGGTTTTCTATAGTTTTAATAAAAATGGCCTTCTCACATATTTAATTTGTAGCTTTTTTTTTAAACCCAGCAGCATATCGTGAACTGCCTTTTTTAACCAATAAATATGCTTCTACATTAGTATGTTCATGACTGTAGCGCATCCTATACTATGAATGCCCGTCTTTTGTTAACTAGTGCTTCTCAGCCAGCAGCATTATTGTCCACCCTAGGGGACATTTAGAAAATGAGGAGGCATTTTTTCAATGACCTAATGGGTAGCTACTGGCATTTAGTGGGCAAGAACCAGGGTGACAACTACACTATGGTATACAATGAGGAAATGTCCAATCCCAAAGTCAGTAACATCTCAGGCGAGACACATTAAACCAGCGGTTCTCAACCTGTGGGTTGCGACCCCTTTGGCGGTCGAACGACCCTTTCACAGGGGTCACCTAAGACCATCCTGCATATCAGATATTTACGTTACGATTCATAACAGTAGCAACATTACAGTTATGAAGTAGCAACGAAAATAATTTTATGGTTGGGTCACAACATGAGGAACTGTATTTAAAGGGCCAGAAGGTTGAGAACCACTGCATTAAACTATTCAGGTTATCTTAAATAACAACGACAAATATCCTTTTATGTAATACTTTGTGCTCACCTGTTTCCTACGGCCCCTTTCAGAAGGGGCATTATTTGGTCAAAGATTATGCACACTTGAGACTTTTGAGACATTTTGCCAAATGTTTCCCAGAAACGTTTAATCAATCTGCCAAGGAAGGTGTACTTTGACTTGCTATTAAGCAACACGGTTCAGTGGGAGAAACAGGAATTGAACCGAGAACCCAGCAAGTCACTTAATTTCTTGGAGTCTCAAGTTCTTCATCTGTGAAATGGAAAGAACACCTCCGCATACCTACAGGCTCAGTGGAGGCCAAGTAAGATAATATGTAAAAATCTGTTCAGCCGAAACCGGTTTGGCTCAGTGGATAGAGCATTGGCCTGCGGACTGAAGGGTCCCAGGTTCGATTCCAGTCAAGGGCATGTACCTTGGTTGTGGGCCCATCCCCAGTGGGAGGTGTGCAGGAGGCAGCTGATCGATGTTTCTAATTCTCTATCTCTCTCCCTTCCTCTCTGTAAAAAATTAACAAAAATACATTTTTATAAAAAAAATCTGTTCAAGCATAAGGGACTATTTTTAATAGCAATATGTCAGAATAGCTTCCCAATTTGGATGGAAAAGAAGAGAGCACCAGAGGTTGCAAATTCAAATACCTTCAGGGCCAGGCAGACACCTGAGCGATGTGGGCGGTATAAAGGCCTCAGCAATGGGGGTGTTTTAGGGAGGAGTGAGAATTGACAACTGGCGCATCCACATCTAATCGAAAGACAGCAGATGCTACTCAGCTTCAAATACCTTTTTTCCTTTAAAAATACAGAGCAAGTCTGGCCAGTGTGGCTCAATGGTTGAATGTCAACCCATGAACCAAGAGGTCACTGGTTCGATTGGTTGCAGGCTCCATCCCCAGTAGGGGGCATGCAGGAGGCAGCCAATTGATGTATCTCTCTCATCAATGATTTTCTCTCTATCCTCTCCCTTACTCTCTAAAAATCAATTTAAAAAAAAAAAAAAGAGATCCAGGTTCCACAGCAGCCTTCCCAAGCCTTGTGACCTCATGTGGAATGAAGTGTACTTTAAATATATATGGAGAGAGAGAGAGAGAGAGAGAGAGAGAGAGAGAAAATGTTGACAGATTTTCCAGTTTCTCAAAAGCAGTCACAACTTCCCCAAAATAGTTTAACCACCGTAAAGACCAAACATCCTACTTCTGTAGGTCATATCAGGTGCAAAGCCATACTTTTTCAACGTCTGTTAATCACACATGGATTCTCGCCATTTCTCCTTTTGCAGAAATGGACGTCTCTTAGGGGTCTGTGCCAGCGTGGACAACTGCCGATTGTTTGTTGGGGGAATTCCCAAAACCAAAAAGAGAGAAGAAATCTTAGCAGAAATGAAGAAGGTAACCGAAGGCGTTGTGGACGTCATTGTCTACCCGAGTGCTGCAGATAAAACCAAAAACCGAGGCTTCGCCTTCGTGGAATACCAGAGTCACCGGGCAGCTGCCATGGCCCGGAGGAAACTCCTCCCAGGTTAGCAACACCCTGCTCACACCTGAGCCTCCCCACTCCATCCTGCCTGCCTCGGCTGCTGTGCTCCTTAGCAAAGGAAACAAGTGCTTGCTGTTGTTGTGTTGCTTATGTTATGTTTTAAACTCTCTATCCTTCTTATCTATCTCAAAATACATTAAGCCCCCTGAAGTTTTCACAGAATGGGTTCTGATTCTATGCATTAAGTCTAATTTACATGCATCGGAGAACTTTAGAACTCTAAGCTCCAGCAATCCTATCGTGAATCCCTAAAGTAAAGAATTTTCTTAAAATTAAATATATCAACAGTTATTTTTATAGAGATATTTTATCAGGTTTATTAGAAATAGGGTATGTAATCCATTAAGAGAAATTTAGAACTCTAAGCTCCAGCAATCCTATCATGAATTCCTAAAGTAAAGAATTTTCTTAAAATTAAATATGTCAACAGTTATTTTTATAGAGATATTTTGTTATCAGGTTTATTAGAAATAGGGTATGTAATCCATTACAATGTAGAAGTAATAAATCTTCAAAGATACATTACCCCAATGACAATGAAGTGATGTTCTTTTATGATGCCTAGTATCTAATAGTTTCTGCATAACTTGGAGGAACAGACATAATAACTCTCTGTAGAAAGGGACCTTTGTTAGGTGCTACAACCATAGGGTAAGTCACATTTGGGTAATAACCACTGATTCCTAAATTTAAGACCTCTACACAAAACTGCCTCAGGCAGATCAACTTAGAAAATAATTGTTGAAAGTCTTCATTCTAAAATATTTGCTCAGACTTACACAGAGTAAGGTATTAAAATGAATTAATATTAAAATAAGAGGATTTCCATAACAACAGACTGGACACATCAGAATCAACTCTTCTCCTGAACATTATGGGAGAGCTTCCAGAATTGAAAACCAAATTAACAAAAACAGCAGAAGTTAGGCTGCCCTGGTACACATTCTTAAAGACAAAACAAACCAACAGTAGGATTAGCCCGCTAGAAGTTTCCAACATTGAAGATGGCTTCTGAGCGTGGGGAAAATTTTTTAAAGAATATTTTCATAAAGGCAGCTGAAAGTGAAAAAATATGAGACACACCCTCTCCCCCCCAAAATTGCCGAGTCTGTTAGAGAGGTGCATGTTTTTAATGTTGAAGTTTCTATTTACTTTTTGCTCACTACCCAGTGGTCCTGTCATCTGACTCACAGCTGCATAGAATCACTAAAGCTCCTCATGGGGCAAACGTAACCTCTCAGTGACTGGGACTTAATATGTTGCTGTCCTCTTCAACTCCTCTCTTCTTCAAAACCAACAATTCTACCATTGAAAAGTCCCCATTTCAATTCTGTTCTCAGGACATCATTATAATCTAGCACAGATATCCCCTCCCGCCTCCCCACTTAGATTATTTTTCCAACGTCTCCTAATTATTCTCCCATTTCTGCTCTCTCTCTGATGTACCCCCAACCTCTGCCTACTCCATCCTCAACATTACTATGAGATTAGCATTCCCAAAATATTGTACCATCCTTTCCACAAATTCTTGCAAACAGCAGAAATTCAATCTCTATCTGTTGATAGGTTAAAGCATTCAACCACCCCTTATGGCATATGAGATAAAGAGTACAGTAAACTCTCAGCCTGCCATTCAAAGCCTGCCATCCATGACCCTAGTCCTTTACAACCATATTTTCTACCTTCTACTTCCCAATAAAAACTCTCTTTTCTGGCAGGACAAACCCCTCAATGTCCTAGACAATACCATGCTCATCTTTGTCTCCTGGGCTCCTAAGGAGATCCCCTTTCCCTCTGCTGACTGATGATGCTCAAAGCCCCAGCTCAGCTGCCACTCCCTTGAGAAACCGGCCACCATGCTTCCAGCCCACATGGATCACTCTCTCTCTCTTTATTCTCTGTAAAAGGAGATGTGTGTGATGGTTCTGGGGCTGGAGGAGGATGACAATGAAAGGGAGTCCAGAAAGGAGGAAAGTTTTCAGGGGCCAGACAGCCAGTGCTCCTAGAGCAGTGGTTCTCAACCTTCCTAATGCCGCGACCCTTTAATACAGTTCCTCATGTTGTGGTGACCCCCAACCATAAAATTATTTTCATTGCTACTTCATAACTGTAATTTTGCTACTGTTATGAATCACAATGTAAATATCTGATATGCAGGATGTATTTTCATTGTTACAAATTGAACATAATGAAAGCATAGTGATTAATCACAAAAACAATATGTAATTATATATGTGTTTTCCGATGGTCTTAGGCGACCCCTGTGAAAGGGTCGTTCGACCCCCAAAGGGGTCGCGACCCACAGGTTGAGAACCGCTGTTCTAGAGACTGGGAACTTCTTGTTAGCGTCCCCTCTCTTAAAAAAATACAGCACATGGACCCACAGAAAGAGCGCCTGTCTTTACCTGAGTGGAGCTGACGAAGCTGGGCAGGGCTGAGCAGCTGGGCTTCAGAAATTCCCAAGCACTTTGTGCTGCGTCCACTCGAGGTCTGACTTTTCCCTCTGGGTTCTCAGTCCGGATCCAGGAAGATGGACGCTCGCTCCTTCACTCTCCCCACCCACTGCCAATCTTTATCACCATCAAGGCAGCACCCTCGCCCTCAGTCCTTTAAATTGGCCTCAGCTGAGTCGAGTTTCATTCAGCTGGAGTGTAGGCAGCCTGCCTCATCAGCAGATCAACAAGATGGGGCACAGTGGTGAATCCCAGTCTCAGCAAACAGATTCATTTCTACTGAGGCCTGAGAGCAAAATCTATTATCATTTGGACATTCTACCTATTACCCCCTGTAGATTCAACAACAACAAAGGATTTCTGGACAGCCTGGTTTTAAAGAATAAAGAGCTCCTTAAGAAACATGATAGGCACAGCCCACGGGAAGCTTTTCCTTCTTAGTTGACCCAGACACGGAGACAGAGAAAACCATCTAAAGCAGTGGTTCTCAACCTTGGCTGCATATTAGAATCACCTGGGAATCTTTTTAAAATCCTGATTTCTGGGCCTCATCCTTCGGAAATCCTGTTTCTTTGTTATGGGGTGGGGCCACAACATTAGTAACAAAGAAACAGAATTTCCGGAGGATGAGGCCCAGAAATCAGGATTTTAAAAAGATTCCCAGGTGATTCTAATGTGCAGCCAAGGTTGAGAACCACTGCTCTATGTGAACAGAGAAAGAAGTCATTATTCAGTATGGAAACATTTATTAAACATCAATAACATACCTTCTAAATGACATGGGAGCCCTAGCCAAGTGGCTCAGTTGGTTGAAGCATCATCCTGTATACCAAAAGATTGTGGGTTCAATTCCTAGTCTGGGCCCATACGTAGGTTGGGGGCTCTATCCCTGGTTGGACACATACAGGAGGCAACCAATCAATGTTTCCTTCTCCCTCTAATTCTCTCTCTCTCTCTCCCTCCCCCCCTTCCTCTCTCTCTAAAATCAATAAAAAAATTGTCCTGGAGTTGGATGGAGGGGCAAAGAGGGAAAAATGGGGGATAGCAAAATGGGGATAGCTATAATATTTTTCACAAAAAAAATAAATGTTTTTTAAAAATCAAACAAGACCTCCAAATTTCCAGGAGGTGCCAGTAAGTTTTCTATCAAATTGCTTCAGTGTAAGATGAAGCCTACAAACATCAGCTATCATACCCCAGGGCTAGGCCCTCTGATGCCATCCCACCGACATTAACCACATGGAAGGGCTTTCTCAGGTGAGGCCTGTCTCATTGAACTCACCACTGTCTCACCTTCACTTTTGAGTCTTGAAATTGGAAATAGTTCAAGATGGAATAGCCCCATCTCCTCAGATGAAGCTCCAATTATGGGAGGCCAATGGGGTGGAAGAATACTGTATTTTAAATGAAGATTTTAATTTAGCAGATAGTAGCAAGTACAGTTGAGGAAATTGGTGCCTAGAAAGATTATGTTTCGTAGCCCGGATCACTGATCTGATATTTGAACTTGTCTGATTTCAAACCCTATGTTACCAGATTACTCCCAAGCACTGACTTCCACAGGGATGTTCATGGAAATCACCGCCTCTCCCTTCTGTCCTTTTGCAAATCTTCAGGCTCATGGATGACTTAACCATGGTACCAGGCTGGGAAGGCAAAAGCCAGTGTACAGAACAGTGGTTCTCAACCTTGGCTGCGTATTAAAATGAAACGAGGTGCTTATCAGAGTCCCGAGGCCCAGACCACTTATTCCAGAATTGAGAAGGCGAGTCCAGGGGTCCGCCATGAGCTGGTAAAGCTTCAACAGCCAACTCCCAGGAGAAAATCAAAAGCCCTGACTTGTAACATTTGCCAATTTCATGGTATTAACACTCCCACTGTGGCTGATTTCAAGCTACCAAGGTGATATCCACTGGCTCACACAATTCTGGAAATGTAACAATCTATTCTTGCAAGTAGATAGGAGCTGGATCCAGTGCACCATTGAGAGGAATTTTTTTAATTCCAATGTGGGGCCACAGCTGAGAACCACTGGCCTACAGAAACCAGAGTCACCTGGGAGCCCTGGGGATCCTGGGATAAGGCAAACAGCAAAGTCTATGTAAAGCCTGGAAGAGGAAGGGAAGGAGTAGAAGGGGACAGGAGGGGAGGGAAGGAAAAAAAGTAAAGAAAGAAACTATCTATGGGAAGCAATGCAGAACAAGGTACCTAGCCAGCTGGGGTAGCAAAGGCCAGGGTCTCTAGCATCAGCTAATTCATTAGGGTGAGTCTGTTCTTCAGGTTTTAAAATGTCAATGCCACAGATGCTTTCATTGACTACTTTGCAAAGAAAAAGAAGATGCATTTTGATTGAAAATAATTGCCTCCCATGTGTAATGATTAAACAAATAAACCCTTACCATTACTGAGAATTTCTTATTTTGTTCCCTCAAGCTTTTTATTCCTTCCGGAACATAGCTTGTTCTTTAACAACTAATATAAAGCAACAAGATTTCAATCAAGTTTGAAATTGAGCCGACCCTCACCCTCCTCTCATCCCTTCAACACAGATCTGTACTGTGTAGGGGTACAGGCCGTGACTAAGGCCTAACAGGAGTGGTGCGAAGTGAAACAGATCCTCTAGAAAGCTCATTTTCTCATCTATAAAAGTGAGAAAGTCGTTCCCCTTCCCATAGAGTTGCTGTGAGAAGGGACTGAGATGGCATATGGGAAACACATAGTACGCAGTGGTTCTCAACCTTCTGGCCCTTTAAATACAGTTCCTCATGTTGTGACCCAACCATCAAATTATTTTCGTTGCTACTTCATAACTGTAATGTTGCTACTGTTATGAATCGTAACGTAAATACCTGATATGCAGGATGGTCTTAGGTGACCCCTGTGAAAGGGTCATTCGACCGCCAAAGGGGTCGCAACCCACAGGTTGAGAACCGCTGGTATAGGGCAAGACATTCAATAAACTGCAATTTATAGGAATTCAACAATATACGTAGGCATGGATAACAACCAGCCATTTGAGAAGAGTTCAGGCTCTCATTATAAACTTTTTTATTGCTCTTTGTCTTCTTAATTTGGTTAAAAAATTATTCTTCTCCAGATTCCCAAGTTTTCCATGTTCTGAAAGAGAGAAAACTCGGAGGGAAGACAGTGAGTGGATGGGAGCCCTGACCAAGTGAAATAGACACAGGACAAACGAGGGGTGCCTGCGCCCCGCGCCCCCCCCCCCCCCACATCCATGCTCCATTTTTTGGACAGCTCAGTGGTGGCAGCTGGCCACACAGATTCCAACAGCAGCAGAAATACTTCCTAGTGACCTTCATAGTGTTTCATGAAGCCAGACTTGATGTCTGAGCGCTACATCCATTATTTTATTTTCTCCCCCTTTGCCATCTCACCTCCAACCTTTACCCTGTAGGAGATGTTCTAAGACCCAACTTGCCCATTGCTGCCTCATTTCTGATCAGTTTCAAATCACATCCTAGTTTCCTTTATACTCAATCATTATAATAAGCCACTTATAATACAGAACTCCCTTCTAGCCAGCTCCTACATTTATTTGCAATGTCTGTTAAAATAAATAATCTACAGTTTTAATATTGTTCTTCTTGTTCAGTTAAGATCTCCAGGGTCAGTTCCATGTAAAAGGCCATCAGTCTGAACTGAGATAATGTTGTCCTGATTTCTATATAACTAATCACACTTGTGATCCTTTCTGTAGGAAGAATTCAGTTATGGGGACACCCCATTGCAGTAGACTGGGCAGAACCAGAAGTAGAAGTTGATGAAGACACAATGTCTTCAGTGAAAATCCTGTATGTAAGAAACCTAATGCTGTCTACCTCTGAAGAGATGATTGAAAAAGAATTCAATAATATTAAACCAGGTAAGACATACCGTAGAAGGTAACTTGTTCAAAACATATTTTAAAAACACTTGTGCTTACAGTGACTTCCATAATTTCAAATAATATAGCTTTCAGTTATCATTCTCAGAATTGCATGCAAATTACTAAAACTATACTTATACCTTTAGATTAGAAAATAGGGACATATGGTCCTATAACATTTATCAATATTATAGTTTTACATTTATCTGTGTGATTACTTAATGTATACATAGTTCTGTCACTAAACTATAAATTCCATGAGTTCTTTTTGCTCTTATTGTCTCTTCAGCCCCTGTCTTTGTGTCTGAAACATGTTAGATGCTTGACAAGTATTTACTGTATTAATGAATACATGGCCTAATCTAATACATGGTTTCTCGATCTCAGTACTCTTGACATTTGGGGCCAGATAATTTCTGGCTGTGGAGGTCTGTCCTATGCACTATAGGAGATTTGGCAGCATCCCAGTCCTTTACCCACTAGATGCCAGTAGCAACCCCCAATACGTAATAACCAAAACTATCTCCAGACATTGCCAAATGTACTGTAGAGGGCAAAGGTGCCCCGAGTTTGGAATCACTGGTCTCATGGAATATGATTGTGAGTTTAGGTTCATAAGTAAGTAGGTGACAATTAATTCTAGAAAACTCATTTGGGCAAAGAAGAAGGAATAGAGGGAAGGTGGAGGGCAATAATTAGCTGCTGCTCATCTTATCAATACTTTTCAGTATCAATCTGAAGTCATGAGATTGACAACCCATCTCTTTTTTTCTCATGTAAGAACTACAACACTGAGGCAGGTAAAGCCTTTCAAGAAGCAAAGTGCAAACAAGCTTTTCCCACAGTCAGTTCTGTAGAACATTATTTCTATAGACTGTTAGCAGATGTTACTGATAAAAGACGTTCATAGTCAAATAAGTTTGCAAACACTAGAAACAACAAAATTAAACAGATTCTTTTACTGTGGGACTTATCAGAGTCCTTAACCTTCTAATAGGCTTTGAAAGTCTCTGAAAAAAGAGATGGAGGATGCTGGATTTACCAAATATTTTGACCCTGCATCCCATTTTTTTGGCAGACCATCTTGTGGGATTACTGTGTCTTGGAACACACTCTAGCCCAAGTGTATTACTGTGTTAACACCTTTCTAGAAATGAGAATTTTTCTGTCTCCAGCAGTAACTCTGGAGTAGTTAGTTGATTGACATAAGCCATGGTGCCATCACGTTCAAACTGCCTGAGAATACTCACTTCACATAGTCCTGCTGCCTGGGTTCCGTGTCAGGTGTAACAGAATAAGCTAATTTTTTCTAAAGGTAATTAGTAAGGATGTCATTTCTCCCTTTTCAAAGATTCACCAGAGATTTGTCTATTTCCAGCCTTCAGGAACTCTGCCTTCCCTGCCATTTTGGTGTATGGTGTCTCCATACCACTAGCTATCAATCCAGAGACTGGGAAGGATTAACTGCCTCACTGTGTGCCAGGCATTGCAGTGGGCACTTTCACAGCACGTGCATGTATTTATCACAACAACCCTAGCATGTAGGTTACTTTATTACTGAAATTATTCCCTAGATTAGAAAACTAGGACCCAAGGCAATTAAGTAATTTGCCTGGGATCATAGAGCTAGCAAGTGGCAAATACAAGATTTGAATTCAAGTCCGGTTAAGAGCTTGCTCTTAACAACCCTGTGACTCCCATGCTCCATCCCCACTCCATTTGCTCACTCATTCATTCAACTGTCATTAGTTTAGTAGCTCCTATATGCCAAGCACTAGGAAGAAGCTAACAAGTATGGTGTGTGTGTAAGGAGTTTAAGATGCTCCAGAAGAGTAACAGGAATGAAAGTCTACTCTTGGGGTGCAGAGGAGACTCATGTTTAGCAGAAGTGACATGTAAACTGAGATCTGAAAGTTGACCCAGCCGTGGGCATAGGAACTGACATGGTGTGCATAAATAATACTTCCTCACCACCCCCCCTCCCACACACACACACACACACACACACACACACTTTGTGTTGACTTTCTATCTTCCCAGAACAAATAATACCTCTTAGTTTTATCTACAGTAACTGAAGACATTACCTTTCTTAGAAAAGGACAGGAATGAGAAACTACTAAAAGGCTGCTTCCTTTCGGTTACTGATTATCAGCTTTCCAAGTCTGCACATTGAAGGGAGACACGTGGCCAGGCCCATTAATTATATGAAAACAATCAGTGAATTGCAGAGGGTGGAGACTAGCAGACACCTGCTGTATTGGAAAGAAAAAGTCAGAGCCAACTAGTTTCTTTTCCAGTGGAAAAGACGAGATTAGATCCCTCAGAGGAATCAGAGCATTCCCTGCAAATATTTGATCATGTGTTATTTTAACCCTGATTAACCTGAAAATAGTACAATGCCACTCAGAAAAATAAATGGCAATCAGAACAGAAACTGGGGCCTTAAAAATGTGTGCTCTTCCCTAGTGTAGCCCAAGGGTATTTGCTGAAATTCTGACTCTAGTCTAGGCATTCTTCAGAATCTGATTTTCCAAACAATTTAACATCAGAATCACCTGGAGGGCGTGTTAAACCAGATTGCTAGCCCTGCCCGCGGAGTTTTTGATTCAGTAGGTCTGGGGAGTGGGTCCAGGCATTTGCATTTCTATTGAGTTCCAGGCTGAAGCTGATACTACTGGTCTGGGGACCACACTTTGAGAATCATGGCCCTTTGATAATCTTCCCTTTGGATTACCGGTGTGTTTCTCTTCTGGTAATTTATGTCTCCTGACAAATTGATAATAAACAAAGTCATATTTTTCCAATTATGATTTCAGAGAGTCTTCATTATTACTGATGGATTACCACTGATATTTTATTGCCTCACCTTCTACCCAATGATTATCAATCAAAATAAATTCCTATACACTAAAGAAGGAACACAATAAAGTAGCCATGTGGTGAATACTATGGTAGAGAAAAACAGCTTTTATGATAACAAACTCTCACTTTCTCATTTGTCTGTTTTATGAGGCTAAATTTTCATATATCAACCCTTCCAAAATCAGGTGTGGGTGGACATTATTGCTCAAAAATGCAAGCTGATTTCAACATCTGCAAGATGAATTTTAGGACACCTAAATCATTATCATCTGAAATGCCACCCAACTAATGGGCATGATAGAAGTTGGAGAGTGAATTGACTGATAATATGTGCTCATTCCATGTCTATTTACTGAGCAGCACAAGGCACTAGTGAGGAACTGGGTGGAGACTACCCCAAGATGCCTCTGAAGCAGATGCTGCCCTCAGGGTGCTAACAGTCCAGGAAAACCTGGATGGAGGATGGCACTGATGAATAAATGAATCAAAGACGGGAAGGGTAAAGGTCCTCAAAGGCCCACTTCTTACTTCTCAATGACTAAGACAAGCCATGGGGTAGAGTCACAAGAATTAGCCCACCTGACACGGAAGGAACAAAGAGACCATGTTGGAATTCAGTTAATTACATGTCCCATGCTTCATGGTTTCAGCTACCTTTATTTATTTTTTCAGCTTGACAAGACAATCTTGCTCTGTACAACCATTGTCATAAGTAGTCAAGGGTTGAGTGCTGAGGGGAGAGAGAAGAGAGGACTGCCATGTTTTTAAATTATGCTTACATTACAGCACTATCATTATCACAAAGGAAGACAGTTTATAACTATTAAGCCACGTGGTTGAGCAGAAACTCTGATTGCTTTGTGACTTTGCATCTAAGAGGATAATTGAACTTTGATAGTGGAGGAAGAAAGGAGGACCTATCACCTCTTCTGGTTCTCCCTGGCATAGGGACTCATCCTATATTGTCTCTAGAAACTAAGCATTTCAGGAAAAGAAAACGTGGTCTCTGAAGTTACACCCAAGTGAGTATAACTAACAGGATAGCAACATGCTAAACCGCTAACAAGTTAATGTTAAACAAGTTTCCATCATAACATCATTCTAGGCAAAAGTTAATTTTTAAAATTGAGCAACCAACAGTATTCTTGAACAAAAGGTTAATGATGATTCTTTCACTGTGTTTATAGGTGCTGTGGAGAGGGTGAAGAAAATCCGAGACTATGCTTTCGTGCACTTCAATAACCGAGAAGATGCAATTGAGGCCATGAAAGCTTTAAATGGGAAGGTAATGTAGACAAAGAAAAAAACATGTACAGATTCCATCAAAGTTTGGTGTGGAAATTTTATTCAAAAGAACAATCCTGCAAGTCTACCTCACTCAGGCTTTCTCCAACACTGACACAGCTGCCTCTGTTCATTTAAGATGAAAAAAAAAGGAAGTGATGGAAAGTATGATAAACACGTTGCTTGCATGTCCAACTCTATCTCTAATTTTGGCTGATTTGGGCGAGTTGCTGGTGCTTAATTTCCTTAGAAAGAAGGATATTAGGGTAGATTATTTCAAGGTGTTTTTCACCCATTCCAATTTTCACTCATTACTTTAAGAGATTATCACCTTTGTAGTGCAGTATTTTAAGGGCTGATGATCAGGAAAAAATGTCAAGGTAGCCATTATTCTGCCCTCAAAGTTTGATCTTCCAACACTGGAAAGCTTGGAACCACTTCACCTTGCCAAGAATAGCTCTGGGGAAAAACTAACTTCTATATCCTTACTTTTGATTTATATGTACTAGTAGAAACCAATATATTTACTTATCAATCCAATACACATTTAAGAGCTTCCATAGGCCACTTATCATGCTAAATAATGTCTGGGATACAAAAAACATCAAAGATGTTTATCAAAGAGCTATAAATCTGCCAGAAGAATAAAACAAGTCACAAACACTTTTGCAAAGGTGTTCCAAAAAAGGAGTGGTTCATAAAGAATCAGAAAATCTTCATGGATATGAGAAGAGATAATGAGAAGCCATGAAAATTGGGCAGAATTTTAAGAGGAAAAAACAAACACAAAACATGGAAAAGGAGAGGCAGTCTTAGACAGAGGCACAGAATTTAAAAAGAGCAAGTTATGATTTGAGAACAGTAAAAGCAGACCAATTTGGTGAGAACATAATATGTACATCAGGCTATTTTACCTGTTGGGCTTCACATCAGTCAGTCCTAATAGGACACAGATGGCAAAGGAACTTATTACAAAGGTGTGAGTATAGAGTCGGAGAATCAAGAGATAGTGCAAGAACCTAGAGCTCCTGACATTCCTTCAGTCAAAGGAACAAGGGCTGGAGAAATAACAGGAAACGAAAGCAGAGAGGATTGTGTAGAACAGGTCTCCGAGAGAAGCAGTGATCTTTGGTCAAGAAACACATCCAGGCTTAGCTGACTTCTCAGAGAGGGAGCAGAGGAAGAAATAGCCTGAACTCACTGTTATCTCTTTCTCTTATCTCCTGCCAGGACTCCCCATGGGCCAAACCCAATCATAATCCAGAGGCCCAGGAGCCCTGAAGAGGACCCCATGTAGATCACCCCACCCCAGGGCAAAGAGGCTGGAGACCACTGGGGAGTAGGCCCTTCAGATACAGTGGGGCCCGGGCATAAGAGCTTCTCTAGGACCTACAGAAATGTTTGAGTACTGGGAGGGAAAGTATTGACTTTAAAATACAAAAAGAAAACTGAAAAGCAAAAATTAATGCATATTTAATACATGTCTATGGAGCAAAACATTGTTTTATCATCATTGATTCTTACATTTTATCTCATAAAATGATTATTTAAAACAATTTGCAGGTTAGTTTTTTTCAATTTGAAAACATTCCTAAGTATACAAATGATTGCTGAAAAGGAATATTCTGAATTAAGTGCTAATTTATTATTACTTATTTTATGATTATTAAACTAACTGCAAAGTTATGATTAATTGATAAATAATTGAAAACATTGGAATAATTACAATGAAAATATATTCAAACTTTTCCTAGTTTTTAAAGCTATATATATTTATAGGTAGATATTTTCATAGAAGTAGATACATATATTATGTAGTTAAATAAATATTCAATATTATTATTAAATATACACTAAATATTATAATTATATTTCACTATAATGTGGTATGGGAAAATCAAAAATAGCATATGGATATTTATATTTAATTTGTTACGCAACTTGAGACTTTGAATATTTTGTGCAGTGGAATAATTATCATATTTACAATTTAGGGAAATGACCCTACTAATAATTGAAATTTCATAGAATAGGAAGAGAGATGTAATTGCAACTAGTTAAAAAGTTATTGGTCATCCAAATGGGAAGAAACAGGACTTGAACTAGGGTGGGAATGGGGCATAGAAGAGAGCTCTACACAGGACTAAGGGGGATGAATTCCAAGGACTCAGGAACTGATTGGATGTAGGGGTGAGAAAGAAGGATGAGTCGATATAGATTTTCAATATGGGAAACCAGAATAATACTGTTAGGGAAGCCAGGCAGGAGAGCCTATTTAAAGAGAAAAGTGATGAGTTGAGCTTTGGATGTGGATATTTATTCTATAAATATTTATGGATGTTTATGATGTACAAAAAATTTTGCTGGGCTTGGGATATACAGATTAATGAGATATTGCCTTAGCTCTTGAAATGTCTAAACCAAATAACTAAAATACAATTTTGAGTTTAAAACACTGTTGGGTGCCAGAGGTATACAAAACAAATCTATCACAATAAGAAATCTGACTTTGTAGTATGTAATCATTCTATTACAAAGGTCTCTTGATATGAAAGTGCCTATAAGCAGAGACCTATTTGGGTCTCTCATTTTAAGAAAAGACTGGTGATATAAAGCATCTTATCAAGTTTACCTCATTCCTTCAATACTTCATTTCTTCTATTCACATGAATGATAATGTAACAGTTGAATATCAGCTGGATTCTCTCTCAGTGTTCCATTTGACACTGGCTCCTGCTACCAAAAAGTAGGGTAGATCCATAGAAAGAGGGATAAGTTGCCCCAGAGACTGAACAAAATGGTCAGGCTGAATCACGAGCTCCATCTAGCAGACTTCAATGACCCAGGAACCACTGAATTGCTCATGACATCAGATAATAAGGATGGAAGGGAATTTCTGCAGGAACATTTTATATAATTTCTTTCATTTATATAAAATAGGAGTCCATCGTATTATTAGAAAGAAGCCACAAAAGCTTTCTCATAACACCTTGTTCTTTGATAAGAAATACATTACTCTATCAAGTATTTGTTGAGAGCTATCCTTGTCTCTGTGTATGACAGTGCTACACAGAAATGAGTCACACATGTAGAGCTAAACACTTTTATTATGTTCAACTATTATCTTCAGCTATTATCTGAAGCTGTTTTCAATGTCAAAAATTTGTGTCAGAAGAGGACCAATTCAATAATTCTTGAGGACAAGTTTTCAGGAGTGCTCGACTTGAGAAACCTCAGTACTATCCACCATCTCCATTTGTTAGTTATCAACTGTTCAGCAGGCCAAAATGTTGCTTCCCAAGGAAGTACATGTGGGGGACAAGGTAATGGCCTCAGATGCCTCTTCCTTGGGTAGTGCCTCACCTTTTAGGTCTCTCCTCCTTCCCAGTGAAAACATACTTACTGTGTAGCAACTCTAAGGAGCAAGACCTTTAGTTGGCTAGCAGCCAGAAAGGCCTAACTGGGCTACCCATACCAAAAAGTTAGTAATTGATAAGATCTCTTTATTGGTTTCCTTTCATCTTCATTGTACCCTGCTAGGTAGTGGAGATTTTAATCTCCATAATTAACCTAAACTGTCTTAGAATTATATAATTACATAAACATGTAAACATGTAATTTAAACCATATACATCACATTAAAAATATTACATAATTCTGTCTCAGTGACTGTATTCAGACAATAAATTTATAACCAATATGTTCATGGATGGTGGCCAATTTGTCACTGTGAAAACCTGTTGGCAGCTTATGGGCAACTTCTCAACAAAACTATCCAGGGAAAAATTTAAATGACACACGCCATCAACCTATAGAGCCAAGTACATATAATTAAAACAGCCAGTACACATAGCAGCAAATAGGCTAATACAGAAGGAGACCCATCACGAGGGCTCAGCCTCCCGTGGTTGTCTTCATAGCTTTCTTGTTGCTTTTCCCTTGCTCTCTATAACAGGTGCTGGATGGCTCCCCCATTGAAGTGACCCTAGCCAAACCAGTGGACAAGGACAGCTATGTCAGGTATACCCGAGGCACAGGTGGAAGGGGCACCATGCTGCAAGGAGAGTATACCTATTCTTTGGGCCATGTTTATGATCCTACCACAGCCTACCTCGGAGCTCCTGTCTTCTATGCCCCGCAGGCCTATACGATTCCTAGCCTTCATTTCCCAGCCACCAAAGGACATTTTGGCAACAGGGCCATTATCCGAGCCCCTTCTGTTAGAGGTAATACTAATCAACTCTTGCCTTAGAATAACTGCATGATTTCAAACGATTTGTATTGCAATAGCCTCAGTAAAACTGGATGAGTCCACTGAGAGAAAAGAACTCGAAATTTTTTTTAAAAAAATCAAATATTTTATCAATAGTTATCCTTCCATAGGAATCTTATTTCACATTACAACTGGTTGAGAAAACTTGGTCATAGCATAGTACAAATGAGTCTTTCCACACATTTGATCTTTGCATGGGACCCATAACATTTGCACAACCTAAATCTCAGGTCCACAATTGTTCATGTCTCTCTTATCATTGAATCACCATATTGCAATCATATGTAACTTGTCACATAATTAAAACGTTAAGCATTTATAATCTGAAATCACATCATAAAACAATCCAGACATTGAATGTAAGTTGTCAACCAGTTGTAATGTAAGGAAAAACAAACTCTACTCCAAGGGGGAAAAAACACCTTTATAACAAAACAAAAAAAATCAATGAATGAATGATATTCATGGATGAAGGGTAATCAATTTAACATTTTTATCTTTATGCCACCAATAGGAAATCAAAGTAGCAATGTGGAAAACAAACAAAAAAAATCAAAAGGAATCTATTAATTGAACTCAATAGAAATTTAAGCCTCACGTGGACAGAACATAAGATAGAAAATGGTTAATTTAAAAATGCTTTCAATGTTGGTTTTCCAACAGGTCATTGAGGATGGCAATATTGGGAAAACTAGAATTCATTTCTACCTTATTGCTCAATGACAAAATGCAAAATTGATATGACCACTGTATGTGGTTATATCATGCTGGGGTGTTTTTTTTAAAAAAATACCTTCCCAATATTAATTATTCTACAGGAAAAAAATGTCAATAAAAGGTTAACTGAAAACAGAAACGGAAAATTTTTCTCTATACTAAATTTTAAAGTTGCTTATGTAATTATCAATAGCTTTGATAGTATTGCTTTCTTCCACAGATAGTTTTTTTTAAAAAAAGAAAGACACCTCTGGTGAACTCTACCTTATGTTGAGTTTCATTACATTAGAATCCTAGGATTTTCTACCCATCTTCAGGGCAATAATCAATGTGACTTGGGCTAACTTTTCCATTACAGTAAGATTCAGGGTGATTTTCTGGTGGTTTGATTCAGTTTAATGCCTTCTTACATTCCTAGAAATTTACATGAATGTACCTGTAGGGGCTGCGGGAGTGAGAGGACTGGGCGGCCGTGGCTATTTGGCATACACAGGCCTGGGTCGTGGATATCAGGTCAAAGGAGACAAGAAAGAAGAGAAACTCTATGATCTTTTACCTGGGATGGAACTCACCCCGATGAATCCTGTTACCTTAAAACCCCATGGAATTAAAGTAGCTCCCCAGGTACGTGACGTTATGCCAGAGACAGTCTCTTTAAGTTGAGCCAACGTCCATTATTCTCCTTTCATCAAATGACATGACTTGATCTCTACTTAGGTTACTATTTTGTTTTGTCTTGCTTTTATTTTGTTTATTTGTTTGTTTTTAATAGATAAAGTGACCAATCAACATAATGTCTTGTCAGAGTGCTGAGTGTTGTTCCATTATAAATTTTCTTTTTGTTTTTCAATTATAAAATTTGGTACCTTAAATAATCTTCCACTGAAATGCAAAGATCCTGAGAGCTATTGAGAATATCAACTAATACCTTAAGTAAGATAATATAAAGCCAAGACCTTAGTTCAAAATAAATGGCAATTGTATGTAAGTCAGGTTGGTTAGCAAATGATGAATATTCATGACAGTCAATGAATGGACCATTTAGGACATCTTTTCTCAGAAACACTGTGTTTACGAGAAAATACCATGTCATCTAAGGTGATATTACTCATATTAACTATAAGGCGCCATCAGTCATATCAAATTAAGTTTTCTACTGTGATGATATCTGCACAGTAGCACTACAGTGAGTTTTTATTGCTTTCATTTCACAGTTCTAATTTTCCAAGTTTCTGCATGAGGCTGTATTTTTTATTATTGGAAAATTAAAAGTGATAAAAGTTGTTTTAGAATGGAAACTGAATAATAAACACAGTCAAAATAACACAAAGCTGGTTCTAAGTTAACCAGTAGACTATTCCCTGTGCAGTAGTGATGATCTCTCCGCAGAGACACTTGGGCTGAATAACCAATATCTACTTGCTCAGAATTACAGTTTGTATATTCAAAGGAAATTTTTCTAATCTCATCCCAAAGGCATAGGCTCTAAATTTATGGAAGTAGCCTTATGATTGCAAGCAAGTAGAAAAGTTGGTTTTCTAAATGTTCATCTTGAGTAATTTTTTTTTTTTTTTGTAGAATTGCTGGCTTTCTTAGACACACAAATTTGTACATCAAAGTTTTCTGTTAATCCTACCCAGACAATTAAAAACAAACAAAAAACTCCTATCAGAGTGGTAAACAGCAATCATTTGTTTGTTCAAAAACCATTTATTGGGCATTCTTTAACAAGTATTTTGTGAGTTCTGGTGATAGAAAATGGAATATAACACAATCCCTTACCATCAAAAATTATGTGGCACAGGAAAAATAATCCAATTTAGAAATGGGCAAAAGACCTGAATAGACATTTTCCCCAAAAAACTATACAAATGGTCAACATATTTTTTAAATGAAGAAATCCTGCCATTTGTGTCAACATGGATAGTCCTTGAGTATGCTAAGTGAAATAAGTCAGACAGAGAAAGACAAATACTGTATGATCTCATTTATATGTGGAATCTTAAAAAAATATATCCAAACTCTAAAAAAGAGATCAGGTTTATGGTCAACAGAGGCAGATGGTGGAGGTGGGAGAATTGGAGGAACATGGTCAAGAGATACAAACTTTTAATTATAAGATAATGAATTACTAGGGATGTGATGTACAATATAATGACTATAATTAATACCACTGTATAATATATATGCAGGTTGTTAAGAGAATAAATCCTAAGAATTCTCATCACAAGGAAAGTAACTTTTTTCTTTTTCCTACTTTTTATTTTTATTGCATTTGTATTAGATAATTGATGCTAACTAAACTTATTATGGTAATCATTTTATAATATATGTAAGTCAAACTAATATGTGTACACTTGAAACTCACACCGTGATGTATGTTAATTATCCTATCTAATAATAGCCAAACATGGTAATTGACCGTACCTTCGCTACGCCTCCCATCGGCTAATCAGCAAGATATGCAAATTAACCGC